TTCTTCCCCCCACCACTTATTTATCAGTAGAGGCTTGCGTGCTGCTGTGATGCTTCAGCAGAGCTTCCAGACCACGGCAGATGAGGAAGAGAGGCCTGGCAAACCACTGCCCCAAATCACAACCTTGTGAGCCCTTTGTGCCTGGTGTCACCACGAGTCAGCTCTAAGGCAGCTAGCAACAAACAGTAGAGGTAGGGGAGGGCTACTGGTGAAACAGCACGTCTCCTTTTCCGCTTGAGTTCCTCCGAAATGACTAGTGACCTCTAACACGGAGGAAGCCGCCCAGTAAGAGCGTCAAACAGGTTCTGCAAACTCACCCACAGCAGGCTCGCTTTTTGGACTGGAGTGCCCATTGGAACTCTGTCTTGAAAAATGAATTTGTATTCCTTTAAAAAGATTTGATAAAGTTGAGGCACTCAAAATATTGCTGTTGGCAGTAAAAAGTATGTTCCTTGAGCATCATGTTCTTTTAAGAATGTTCTACACAGGGTCAAATGGACATGGCAACTAGAAACAGTAGGTAGACATGCAGGGATCACTGGGCTGTGCATGAAAGAGCCAAGGATCAGCAAAGCTCCTTATAAAGAGCTCCCGCCCTCGGGAGGGAAGAGGATGGCAGAATCAAGCCAGCATGCCTGGGCTACCTTTCTCATTTGATCAGTTCAGGAGGAGCTGCAATTCATGTCTTCCAAGAAGAAACAAGTGGAGAAAGGAGGTCAGAAAAGGTGCTAAGTGTAGCTATAGAAAACCACCTGGGAAATAAAGAAGTTCTCTCTCTAAATCTAGGTTAGAATCATTACTGGCTAGGTCCCCCTAAAATGAACTTTGGGGAATTTAAAAAGTAAACCTTAGAAAATGCCAAGATCTGGCATGGAAAACCACAAAATAGCTTTGTAAGAAGATTTGTCTGTGAAGAAGCCACTCTTGGTTCTACTTTGGCAGGTGCTCTTTGCAAAGAAATATATGCATGTGTTTAACATTCATACTGTGTTCATATTGCTACTGTTTGCTTTTGAATTGTGATTACATTGTTTCTATTTAGGAGGAAAGAGTGGTCTTAAAAAAAACCAACTGTAACTCATTTTCACAATCCGAGTTCATGCAAATGTTTTAGAAAAACTTCACAAATTGCTTTGAAGTTAACTGAAGCAATATTTGTGAATTAAAAATCCACTAGTGAGAATTGTTTCTATGGGGATACACAATAATCTACAACATAGGATGTAGTTTGATAGAAAGATAATGCTAGCACAAATTTTTACAGTTGCTAGATAAAGACTTATAATTAAATAATAACTAGCAAGATAAGAACACAATGGCCACCGTTTGCTCCTCAGGATGATAGATGGAAGTACAGGGAGGTAGATTTTATTGCAATGTGAAGATGAGCTTCCTAATGTTAAGAGCCATCCACAATTAAAATTAGCTGCTTTAGTCAAAAAAGGCTATAAAACCATTTAGTGGTAGTACTTGAAAGGGACTCACTCATGCTGTTATTATACTGGATGACTTCCAAGTTCTCCTCCAATTCTAGTGCACTCTAATAGCAGCTGAATCATACAAGGTTGTAGACTTTTTCAAAATTATTTGATGCCTTTAATAGTTCTTAATAGGATACACTTCAACTATCCAACATACCTCTACTTAAGATAAGAGAAAATAATCGAGACTTTTAAAAATGTACTAGGGAGAAGGCAACCATTTGAAAGAATTTTTTTTTTTGTCAAATTAAGGTATTAAGAACAATATATATTTTCTAAGCAATTTTTTAAAGAAGATCTTTGCAAATATCAAGTATCATAAAGCTCATATTCATTGTTCGTTCTGAAAATGGTTTCTCTGTGTTATTCTTTGTGCATTATTATAAATGATTAAGATTCTATTGGTAAAATTATTTGACTGATTCTAAAATGCATAGTAATAGATGCATAAAGTTGTCCAAAGAATGGAGAATGTTCATTGGGAATCACCGTCCTAAAGATTTGCTGAGTAGATGGTTCAAGTGAGGGAGCTTTAAGAATAGCAGTGGAACATTGTCTGGTACAGTTCCGAAAAAGGAAGAAACACATTATGGCTTAGGTAAAAACTGCCTCCTCAAAGCACAGTCAGCGTCCATGATAGACAGCAAAGCTTCCAAGACCTTCACTTACTAATGGAACCGATTCAAAATGAGAAGAAACATTGGCAAGTTTCCATTAATCATTAGGATTTGGAATAGTGGGGACAGGGTATGAATCTAGGAAAACTGGACTCTATGGGTCGGTTTTAATCAGAAAACCATAGAGTTTACTGTCCTGGGAATGACGAATTCGAGAAGAATGAAATCATCAGGAATGGGAGTAGCCCTACCAGGAGGGCAGGGCAAAGTGGGGAGGGAAGAGAAGGAAGAGGGAACTGACATGTAACCGCCCCCCGCCCCACCCGCCAGGGGGACAAACACAGAAACCGTGGGGGGAGGGAGACAGCAGTCAGTGTAAGATATGAAAATAATCATTTATAATTTACCAAGGGACCACGAGGGTGGCAGTGGGGGGGGTGGTGCAAGAGGTGCTGATACCAAGGGCTCAATAGAAAATAAATGTCTAGAAAGTGATGATGGTAGCATATGCAACAATGTGCTTGATACAACTGATGTGTGGATTGTTACAAGAGCTGTAAGAGCCCTCAATAAAATGTTTAAAAAAAAAGTTAAAAATGAAAAAAAAAAGAATGGAATCGTATTTATCATCAAAAAGAACACTTCAAGATCTATCAAAATACAATGTTGTCTGTAATAGGATATCTATACACCTACTAGGCGGACCACTTAATACAACAATTATTCAAATTGATGAACCAACCATTAAAGCCTATTATGAAGAAATTGAAGAATCCTAACAATTTCTTCAAAATTTATTTAAAATGTCATTAAGATGTATTGATGATTATTGGTGATTGGGATGTTAAAAGTTTGAAACAAAGAAGAATCAGTCGTTGGACAATATGACCTTGGTGATACCAAAGAAATCAGCTGGAGATCACATGACAGAATTTTACAAGATCGTCAACTTCTTCGTTGTAAATAACTTTTTTCAACAATAAACATGGACTTTACAAGATGGAATACCAAACCAAAACCAAACTCACTGCCAACGAGTTGTTGCCAACTCAAAGCAACTCTATGGGACAAGGTAGAACTAGTCCCGTGAGTTTCCAAAACTGTAACTCTACAGGAGTAGAAAGTCTCGTCTTGCCCCTCAGGGGATGCTTGCAAACTGCTTACCTTGTGGTGAGCAGCCCAACACAAAGCCACTGTGCTACCAGCACTCTATGGCATGGAGCAGATGGACCACACAGGAATCAAATGGACTACATCTGTGGGAAGAGATGATGGAGAAGCTCAATACTGTCAGCCCAAACAAGGCCTGGACTGAAGGTGGAATGGACCATCAATTGCTCTAAAGCTAGTTCAGGTTGAAGCTGAAGAAAATGAAAAGTCTACGAGTCCATGAAAGCTTAAGTATGAACTTCAATCTATCCCATTTGAATTTCGAGAACATCAGAAGAACAAATTGGACGTACTGAGCACTAATGACCAAAGAAATTGTGGACTGACACCAAGAACATCATGTATGAAGAAAGCAAAGGGTTCTATGAGAGACAGGAAAGAAAGAAAAGACAAAAGTTGATGTCAGAAGATACTCTGAAACTTGCCTTTGAACATAGAATGTCTAAGTAAGAGAGAAGAAATCATGAAGCAAGAGAGCTGAACAAAAAGTTTTCAAAAAGCAGCTTGAGAAGGTAAAGGCAAGCATTCGTAATGAAATGTGCAAAAACCCAACAGAAAACCCCCCCAAAAATAAATAAATAAAAATATGATCAGTCTATCTCAAGCAGAAAACACTAACGGGAAAATCGGTTACTGAAGAAATGTCTGGGCAAATCTTGAAAAGAGACAGGAAGTGTGAAAACCCGAGGAAAGGAATACACAGAGCCATGATTCCCAAAAGAATGGGTTTGTATTCAACTATTTCACAAAGTAGCCTATGATCAAGAACGGATGGTCATCAGCTGATTGGATCGAGGCGTGCCCACATCTCCTCATACGTGGACCAATAGGTGACGTCAGGATAAAGAAAGAAAAGACTGACGTTGGCAAGGATTTTATCTTCTTTGGATCCACAGTCCATGCTTATGGTAGCAGGCAGTCAAGAAGTCAAACAATGCACTTGCATTGGGCAAACCTGCTTCACAAGACCCCTTCAAAGTTTTAAAGAACAAAGGTGGCACGTGGATGGCAAAGGGTGCCTGACCCAGTCCAGGGGGTTTTCCATTGCCTCATAAGACTGTGAAAGCTGGACAGCGAATAAGGGAGACTGAAGAAGCTTGGGTGCATTTGAATTATGGTGCTGCTGAAGGATGTCGAAAATGCCAGGCAACATTTGCCCAGTGATGAAATGTGGAGGCTTGGGAAAGAGGGCAGAGGGGCAATAGGAATGTCGGGGAGGACTTGTGTGGGTGACGGTACTTTGAGAGAATCACAATGAATGGATGGAAGCAGAAAGTCTATGAATCGGTAGGGCTGATGATCTGCTCTGTGGACCTTCCCCTATTGCTCCTAAGAATTAGAGCTTAAATTCTAAGCATCCCTTTTGAAAAAGGATGATGGAGCAAGCCTCAGAGTCATTTGCAGAGTCCCCACATGGATTTAGCCTCCACTGAATTCCTTCTGACCCTTGCTAAGTATGTGAGCAGCCTTGTTCACAGGCAGAGCGCATGGAAAGTGAATTACTTCTCCTCCCTCCAGTCAGCCCAGGGTGGGATAGTCTCCCTTGGAGGCTTGCCAGACTGGGTCCTGACAGGAGATCCCGTACTGGAGGTCACACAGACATGTGTCATGCCCTTTGAGTCATGCCCTGATGTCTTTGGTCCAAAGGCCCTGGGCGAATTTTGCCAGCTCTTCTGTCCAACAGAAGGTATGTTTCCCAACCATGGTTCCATTCCTGCTTCTGCAGTCTCACCCGTTGCTGTGATAGGCTGCGGGCGACATGGTTATGGTTCTGTCACGGCGTCTTGTATTCTTCCTGTCCTGTTTTAGTGTCCGTGTGGCTCTGCATCTTTGAATGCCTCATGCTAATGGTCTCCCATATCCAGATGACAAGTCTGTCTTGGTCTTTGTCCTCTTTAAAACATGATAAATGTTCTCCTTAAATTATGTTTGAGACGTGGAGTTTCTTTTGTCCTCTGAAAAAGAACAGAGACTGGAAGTTTTCCACACATTCTTTGGACATGTTAGCCGATGTCCCTGGAAAGGGACATCATGCTTGGCAAAGTAGAGGGTGCATGAGAAAAGAAAACTCTTCAGGAAATGAATCAGCAGAAGGCATACAAAGATGTCCTCAAATGTATCAACAGTTGTGAGGACGGTGCAGGACCAGGCAATGGTTCATTCTGTAGCACATAGGGTAGATGTAAGAGCTAATGAGGCAGCACCTTCAGACATCAATGAGGGAAATAAAATCTATTAATTGATCACAGCCTTTTATTATCCGGCTGTGTGGATAAAAATCTCTCTCCAGCAGAGTGGCTCATGTGTTCAGTTAGCAGCTGAATGCTGGGGCTCCTTTTCAATAGTCAGGGCACATAGCTAATTTATTTCCTGTTCGTCTTCACCAGAAACACATCCTTGTTTAATAGCCAAGGCCATGCCCTCACTGACAAGTAGGAGGAGCTGTGTAATTTCTGCTCTGTCTCAAAGTCCTTTCCGTGGAGTCTGCACATTGCTCTTACGTACTGAGCTCATTGCTCTGTCCTTTGCTCTTCCTCTGTAGAGAGTACAGAGAAATGTGTGTATTTTAAGTTTTGTAAGGGAAACAGAATTGCTGGATTCCTAGATAATTAAGAATTGATGTTAATGAAGATTGTTCTGCCCTGCTTCATTCACAAGATATCATCCCGGGCTGTTATTGTTCAAAACCTAGGCTAGATATTGATATGGAAGTGTTTACCTATGATTAATATTTGGCTAAGCCTTTCATAATCCTGGGGCATATGTCCCCCAACTTCAGCTGCAGCCTCTCGGGTTTCTTGGGAAGCTCCCATTCCAGCGTATGCTGCTCCTTGTATAACACTGAGTTTGAAGAAATGGGCCCATACCACCAAACACATGCGCCCCAGACAATTGTGTGAAAAGCCATCGAAACATAAACAAATATTTTTCACTTGCTTTCAGCATGTTTTCCATTATTGGAAAATATAGAGCATTAACAAAAGATGCAAAACAGAAAACACAAAGGTCATAAAGGCTTCGGTAAAGCAGAGCACTGCTGATGTGTGGGTGCGGTTGTCTCCAGGTGCCACTGAGTCATTGCAGGGACCCCGCGTCCAACTGAGCAGATAATGACCGGTCCTTCCTGGGGTTGAGCCTGTTCTTGGGGCCCTTGTGTCCATGCATCTTGTTGAGCATCTTCCTTTTCTCTGGCCTCTCCTTCCCAGGACGGCGCCCTTCCCAGGTCCAGGCCTCTCGACAACAGCTACAAGGCATGTGCGATGAAATCGCACCATCCTTGCTTCTAAGAAACACGCTGGCTAGATTTCTTCCCAGACAGATTTGCTTGTTGTTATTTTGGGGGGGGGGGGCAGTCCATGGTATTTTCAATATTCTTCCCCAATACCATAATTCAAGTGCATTGATTCTTCTCCTGTCTTCTTTAGTCAATGGCCAACTGTCACATGCATCTGAGGTGATTGAAAATACCTCCAACCTCCAATGCCATAACCCTAAGGGAATATCAATCTAGTTACTGTATCTATGGATTACCTACCCAGGATTTCATAGGGAAGAAAATACCAAAAACCCCCCAACAAAATAAAACACAGAAAAACCTCAATGCAAAAGAAAGCAGAAGATAATAAAAACTAGAACAAATTAAAGCTGGGTCAAGAGGGAAAAAATAAGACATGAAACTTTAACATAACTACATCTGCAGAAATCCCCTTTCCAATACATTCTGAGGGCAAAACTATTCATATCCTACTCAGTGGTCTGAGGGAGTTTAGGGGAGGTTTAATCTGTGTGAGGAACACAATGAAACACCATTAAGTGTTTTGGTTTTGGAATTCTTGTCCCTTGACATTTTATTTTGTTATGATCCACACAGTCTACTATCTTTGCATAGGCAACATAATACAAGTAAACATCATTCCCGTATTCTCTGCCTTCAGCCGAGATCCATCTGACATCATCAGTGATATTGTGCGTTCCACGTTCTCTTTTGAATCTGGGTTGAATTTCTGGAAGCTCTTTGACAGTGCACGGTGACAACATTTTGCAATTATCTTCAGCAAAACTTTCCTTGCACGTTATCTTAATGTTATCGGTTGATAATTTCTACATTCATATGAATCGTCTTTCTTTGGAGTGAGCACAGATATGGCTCTCTTTCTGTTGTTTGCCCAACAAATTTCTTGGCATAGATGTGTGAGCTCTTCCAAAATTGCATCAATTTGCTGAAACAACTTAACTTGTATCTTGTCAGTTCCTGGAGCTTTATTTTTGCCAGTGATTTCTTCCTTCAGTGGCCTTGATTCTTACCCCCTGAAAGGGATGAACATCGACCAAGTCGTTGACTGTACTTTGAGGGATCCATTTCCATCAAGCTGATTCTAACTATGATCTGATTGACAGCCTTGACTCCACCCCTACACGCTTAATCCTTAAATTGACACCAGATTAGGTGACTCCCACAGATGCTAAGAGTCAGAACAGACTCAATGGCACCTGACAGCAACAGCATGGCCTTCTCCTGAGAATTCTGAGAAATCCAGAAACATCCTCCTTGGAGGCAGAAGATACTTCTCTTTCTCTGCTACTTCCTGGGAGACATTGCAGAAGACAAGCCACA